AACTTGCACTTACGTTAGGAATGTTTTCAAGATTAAACAGAGATACAGTTTAGATACACAGATGGTCATCAATCCCTTTAGAGACCTACAGAATATGTAATTTAAAATGTTTTAATAATGTAAGGCTTTTCATGTCAGTGAAACACGTCTACTCCTGGCAGCACTAATTAACTTCAGAAAAGATTATGGGCATCAAAGAACCTCCATATGGACTTTGCTTTTCTTGTGTCAAAACTAGTCATCTGGGCAAGGAACTGCCCTTATCTTGAATGCTGATCGTAGACTATCCAAACTGGACAAAAGAAAGTGATGGCCAAACTTTGCCAGACAAGGTAGGACAATAATAAATTCCTGCTTCACAGAAAAGTCTTTCAGATATTCTAGGGCTGGAGATGTTCCAGAGGAATCTTGGGTGGCTTTCCAGGCAGTCAGCTATCTCTATCATTTCTATAGTTTTGGAAGCCGCTTGCTCTGCACTTCCTGTTTACTCAGATAATAATATATCCTTCTCAGATCTCTGATGGGGTTAAAGATGAGATATAGTTACAGTTTTCCTTGCTACAAAATTCAAAAAAAGAAACTCACAAAAGAGGTGTAAGGTGTATAAGCTTGAGAGATATAAAAGCTTAAGTTACTTATCTAAGAAAATGTTTTGAGGTTTAAAAAGATAGTTCTGGGTTGGTAATACAAGTGTAGGATAGGAAACTATGTACAAAACTTTGAACTCACCAAGACAGGATAAATAACAGAGTTTTTTTTTCTGAATTTGCCAAATGCAAATTGACTGGACATTGTGAATGTAATGTAATTCTTTTTTTTTTCAATGTTCAGTTTCCTTTAATGACCCCCATCTCCCTTGTAGGGTAGGTGCAGGCAGCTAGGCGATGGCAAGACATGTTCACTTGAAGATCTTGCCTTGATTGAAGTTTTTGCCCACATGCTGGAAGGCCCCCTCCCAGGAAAAGTACTCTCGAACCAAGGTCCGGGTCTCCTCGCTACCAGGATCTAGTTTCCGCCACATATACGACTCGTAGTCCACCTGCCAATCTGGACTCAGCGGAAAAGCAAGCTCTTGGCCTTGGAAGACCCAAACGCCAGAAATGGAGCTGCTATTGTTGGTTCCAAAGAGGATGACACTAGCAAAGGCATTCTTCCTCAGTTTGTCCAATCGCTAGAACATCCCAGTGATGAGGTTGCAACTCATGAAGGTCTGAATGAGCTCTTCAGGGAAGCGGTACTCAGCATACCACAGCGACCAGCCATCCTTATCAAAGTGCTCCCAAAAATATGGCATCGCCACAGACAGTGTGTCCTCATTGGAGTACTTCCGCTTAAACTCATCCAACACGAAGGTACTCTTGGGTAGGTGAGCAAAGGGGTCCTTGGCCTTGTGCTCAGCAGCGAGTGCCTGCTCACACTCGTCCATCTCCTCCTCAGGAGCTGGGGCAGCTGCCTTTTTTTCTTCTTTCCGCTCAGCCTGGGGCTTCTGTTTCTCTTCTCGTGAACCCTTTTCTTTCCTTGGAGTCTCTTTTTTAGGCTGGCTCTCTGCAAACTTTTTAGCATCAAACTGGGCCATCTTCTCACACAGCTTCACCTCCCCCAAGACCGCCCTGAACTGGGGCTGGTTAATGCAGGTAAGGAACCATCGGTTGGTATTGGGGAAGGCCTGATGAAAAGAAGGCTCTAAGACCTGCTTGTAGGGCCACAGAAGGGTGCAGACAACTGTGATATCAGCCAGAGTCACTCGCCCACCCACCAAAAAAGTCCTTGTCTTCAAATGAGTATCCAGCAGCCCCAGGATTTGCTTCACGTCCTCTTTTGCATTTTTAGTGGCCTGTTTGTTGTGGTGCATGATGCCCAAGGTGGGGAACACCCAGGTACTGGCTGGAGGAACGATGTCACTGTCAGCAAAGCTCACCCACTCCACCCCCTGAGCTGCTGCCTCTGGAGTACTTCCACGAAGGTCCTCATTGATTACGTAATAGGCAATGGCATTGCTCTCAAACACACAGAATCCGTCGTCCCCCTCAAATGCTGGGACCTTGCCAGCAGGTAATTTTCTGAGAAATTCAGGGGTGCGGTTGGTTTGGCCAAAGTGGAAGTGGGGTGGTGCGGAGAGCACGCGGACCTGAGCCCCGCTGTACTGAGCAGCGATGAGGGTCTTGAAGGTTCTCCAGTTTTCAGGATATGTGTACAGGGTCCCAGCCGCCATGGTGATTCCGCAGAGAAAGGGCGTAATGTAATTCTTTTTTGTTTGTTTGTTTTGTTTTGTTTTGTTTTGTTTTGAGACAGGGTTTCTCTGTGGCTTTGGAGGCTGTCCTGGAACTAGCTCTTGTAGACTAGGCTGGTCTCGACCTCACAGAGATCCAGCTGCCTCTGCCTCCCAAGTGCTGGGACTAAAGGCGTGTGCCACCACCATCCAGCGTGAATGTAATTCTTATCTGATAATTGTTCTTATTGTATATAGTTTTAATATGTTAGACTTAAAACCTTTCCTTTTTATTTAGACAGAAAGCGGGAAATGTGAGATACTTGTACACTATGTGAAGGTGTATTGCTATGATTGATGTAATTAAGAGCTGAATGGCCGGCCAATAGCTGTGAAGGGAGTATAGGCAGGGTTTCCAGGGACAGAGAGAACACTGGGAAGAAGAAAGGCAGAGACACCAGGAGATGAAAAGCAAACAAATTCTGCAAGAGGAGAAGTAACAGTCATGACCCACATGTCAGAACATAGATTAATAGAAATGGATTAATTTAAGTTATAAGAGCTAGTTAGAAACAAGACTAAGCTATAGACTGAGCTTTCATAATTAATAAGAAGTCTCTGCATCATTACTTGGGAGCTGGTGAGACAGAGAAAGAATTGCTACACAGTAGGCCAACAATCAGAGATGGTATCTGACTAGTCAATATCAAATGTGCTTTCACATAGGCTAAATTTTATTGGAAAGTGCACTTTGCTGAGATTTGGTATCTGGGAAGTCACCTCTGTGGTAGAAAACTTTATTTTCTATTACAGAAAACCCTTTGTTCTACTGACATATGGCAGAGTTTAATCTAGTTAGCACAACAGTGGGTGTGATACAAACCACAGAGTGGAAGAGAACAATTTAGCACTTCGCTGTGTCAAGCAAAGCAAAGATAGAAGCATCCCTGATTTGTATGCACATCAGCTCTCCTACCCAAAGGAATAAAAAAACATTTAAGGCTTGGAAATATCCGACATGTGACTAAGTCATGTTAAAGGAGATGTAGTAAGAGGAGGTGGGCTCAGAAACTCATTTACTTAATAGAAGCTAAGTCTTTTCAAGATACACAGTGTTCTAGCTTATGCAACTTCAAGAGTGAAAGACTCTGCATGCCAACGTGCTTTGTCTCTTGTCTTATAATCTACTTAAAGGATGCATTTAAAATTAAACATAAAATACCATACATAATTATTAAAAAAAAGATTCACAGAAATTTGTTCCATCCAAAGTAGAGTGGTAAAATATATGCTCCACTTTTCTATGTAAAAAGAATGCAAGAAAACTGAGAATTCTGAGGTGGGAAACAAGTTGTGATTTCAGTCCATGTAAAGGACTCACACATAGTAAGGTAAAGATGATGTATGAGGAAGGAAACACAGCAAATGGCCAGCAAGATACACACGGAGCCTGACTTTGATCTGAAAGACTAACTTTGAAAGCCAATTTTCATTTTAACCAATTATATATATTTACTTATGTAAGTGCTCAGTAACTCTCAACTAAGATCTGAGATATGTATTTATGTATACACACACATACACACACACACAAACACACACACACACACACACACACACACACAGAGAGAGAGAGAGAGAGAGAGAGAGAGAGAGAGAGAGAGAGAGAATCAGAGTCTAAGAAAGAATGAGTAGGACATGTAGACAGCATGTAACAAAGGTTTCAATATAGGTAACTTGACTTGAAAGTGAATACTCTCAATTTCCACTTAATATTATTTCTCACTGAATAGGGCCAATCTGCTGCAGGCAGAAAGTACAAGGAATAGACTGAAAAAGACAAAGTTGCACAAAATCATATATTGTGAGAGACAAAATATTGGCTTTTGTCTTCCACCAGCAGACCCCATACTGATGGATTGACTCAAAAAGCACATGGCCAGATCAGGACTTATTACACAACAGTTGTGGGCTAATTGACAACCTAAAATCAGGAGGGAAAAGTTCTTCAGAGACTTTAAAACTCCAGGCCACAAGAAGAAACTGGATTTTTCATCTGTCCAAGTCCCCTCTCTGCTTTGCAGAGGGTCCTGCTCTCTATGTGTCTGCTGCATGTGTGTGTTTCTCCAATCCCTCAGTAAACACCTTTCTTCAAATACCAGTTCTGTTGGTGGTGCTTGACACATCTTCACTGCCACCTGCTGCATTTTAGATTTTTCCTGCCCTTTAATTGTTTAACTGGCAGAGAAAACAAATAGATCAAGAGACCTAGACTGTATCAGTACTAGTTTATCTTTTGTCCACTATTCTCTCATTCCAATGGTCTTTAGCCCATGTCAAATTTATGTTTAATGCTTTCTTTGCTTCCTTTTGTCTCCCTAGTCACTGGTACCAAGAATGACATCATCATCATCATTAGCCTCTCTGACCCTTCGGTCATCTCTTCCCACAGCATTCTTTATTCTGCAGATGCTGTAGGAACAGTCATTCCACTGAGTTCATTAATTATGAAAGAAAGAAATTAGCACTCTGGCACAGTTTTCAAATAAAGCCATGCAAAAGCACTAAGGATGTGTTGCTGTGGGCTTACCATGTAAAAGCTCATATTAGTTAGTACTAGCTTTATCAGCAATTACTCCAACATTTTACCACCTGTGTCTACAGCTACATAGTTGATATACATAATTGATAGGATTCACATAAGCCTATTAGGTCTATTTATATATGTAGCTTATTAACATGTACATTTGTGGGTGCTTGATAAGCATTTTATATTTTAATTTTGACATACCTCTGTGGGTGTCTGTTGAGCCTTCTTTTCAGATTTTGGCAAATCTTTACTTCCTCTTCTTTTTAAGGATGACTGAAACAAAACAAGAATAAGATTAGTTTGGTAAACTAATAGGGTTTAACTCAGTTGTTTGCAAGTGTGCTATTCTCATATGATAAAACTAAGACAAATAAAAAGAGTTCCAAAGAAGGAAGAATTCCTGAGACAGACAGATTTAGATATAATTTTCCTGGAAACAGAGATGTAAATCACAGTAGAATGTAGCTAGCAATTAGCCATTTACTGTGAAATGCAGAAAAATAACTTAGACAGAATACAGATCTGTGACTCAACATACAATAGAACTCACATGTAGGCAAGCGCCTGTTAGCATTCTTTTATCACTAAGAGGAAAAAGAAGAGGAGATTAAGGTGTTGTTCCTATTGTGGATTAGGCTGTTGTGTCAAACTCGTCAAGACATTTTCAGTGGACTCGTGTAGAATCTACAGAAGTTCATCCTCTCACCCCACATCCCAAGTGATTCAATGGGCTGTGGGAAGTGGGTGCTGAGCTGAGAACTCTCCATCTCAAGGAGAAGGTGGCTTGGGAGCCTCAATAATGTGGGCTTTTCCAACAGAGGTGCTTGGAGTCTGGATCCAAGTTAGTTAAAGTCCCCCATATTTGATCAACTGGTCAAAATTAAAATTCAAGCAAACACTAATTCACAGAATATTAACAAATGCCCATGTCATGGACCAGCACTCTATAATCACTGATATTCACTTCAATTTCTCACTTTAATATATTAAGAAGGGTCTATGTAAATACTAATTACCCATGTGTAACTAGCTATCAAATGACACTAGGTTTTGAGCTACAGAATCAAAGTTTAATAAGATACCACACATACCACTAGACGCTCAAGTTAGATAAAGGAAAGCAGAAGCTAATAATTACAGTGCATGGTGGAAATGCAATGTTTTGGGCTCCAGGAAGCATGGATTTTTTTTCTTAATGCATCATCACCTGCATAACAAAAATGCTTGCCATTTGGCAGAGGATAGAAAACATTTTCTGAACAAATGAGTAAATATAAAATAGAAAGTTCTACAGCCAATGAGAAGACTAGGAGTGGAGAGATACAACAGAAACAGAAACAACTTCTCCAAACAGGAAGCCTCATGTGAATACAAAGAACTGAAATTAAATCCTTCATATGTCAATGTCTCATAAACCATCCAGTGGTAAAGGACGGTATCTGCAAAGATGGTGGGGGAATATATGCCTGGAACTGTTGTTATTCATAATGACATTCAACATACACAGGTCAATGGGTAGTACATGTTGCTATTCACTTGCAATTCTTTGGAGCAGTGGTTCTCAACCTTTCTCCAACCATAAAATTACTTCATTGCTACTTCATATCTGTAAATTTGCTGCTGTCATGAATCATAATGTAAATCATAATGTAAATATCCAATATGCAACCCTGTGATCCTTGGTTGAGAACCCATGTTCTAGAGCCCATGCACTAGGTTGTTTATATGATGATAGTTTGTAGGGGAAGCTGTAGCCATGCCTACTTAGGGGCTGGCTACAGGTGTGCCTGACCACGCTTGTGAGGGCGTGGTCAGAGTGACGTAGTGTGACTGCATTTGCGCTTTCGGTTTCTCTTTGCTTCTTGCTGTACAGACCTCTACCACACCAGCTGGCTAGGTTGCTCTGTAAGGCTTTTCCCTATTAAATACCCTTATATTTCTACCTGACTCCGTATTGGTAATTTCCCACAATAATAGTTTCCTACTAAAAGACTACACCTCCAAGCTTCCCTTGCAGCTAGCCAAGGTAACTCTGGAAGGGGGAGGACTACAGGAGGAAACATGCTCTAGCCCTTCCATTTTTTTCAATCCTCAGGCACTCTCAACCTTGGTGAAATTATGTTCCTTTGCCTTGTCTGCCAGTGAACACAGTCCCACCTGTCTAAGGTCAGATGCCTCTCTTTCTCTGCTTTCCATCACTTTAAGCCACCTCAAAGATCTAACATATGGTGCCAAAAACCTGCATGAGAAATAGGAGGCCACTAGCTGCTCAGGCCCTCCAATAGACAAACCTCCTTGGCTCTCCTAGGTTCGTCAGCCCCAGGCTTGAGAAAGCCTGGCAGGGCCACCTGTTTCTCTTAGGCAATCATTTCTTTTCACTCTCCATCTCCGCCCTTGTCTTCTCTTTCTTTCCTTTGTCATTCCCTGACACAGTCTAACCTTGTAGCTGGGAGGCTAAGCACACTTCAGTTGAACACACATGCAACATACCCCAAAATGCCAGGACAAAGTAATTCATAGCATCTGACTCAGAGGTGCCTTGGTTAGATCTGGGTTCTTATGGGAGACCCCTCTGTCTAGATTTGAGATTCCTCAGCACTGGGGTACTTTCCACTGGCTGTGAGAACATTTGGCAGAGAATATTAGAAATTTCCTGTTGGCCTGCCTCTCATTGGTGGAACACCCTGAAACCTTACACTGGTCCTGCAATTAATTGCTTGACCCAGGAATCATGGGATCTGGGGCAGGGGTCACACAACCTACTTTCCAGGCACATTTGGTCAATACAAAATTTGGGGGGACACTCTGAGTAGCAGGATATTGACCTCTGTTTCTACCTTGGTCCCGTACCCATCGGAGAGTCCAAATTATCTGCTCCAAAAGCCACTTCAGGCCCTGTTTGCTGCCTAAAAGAAGCTGCAATTAGAAGAATTGAAAGCAGAAACTTTCTTTTGCCTTTCAGTGCACATCCGACCTCGGTGTATGCTGGACAATCATAGTCATTGCCCAGAATTTGGAACTTTTGATCTTAATATCAAAACTGATTTCAGATAACTCCATGAAACAATGATAAAAGTGATCCAAGCCCCTCACCCATAAAATTCCCAGTTCACTTTAATCTTTCTCATCTCTGCCACTCAGCTCTGGTTTGTAAGTCTGCCTAGACCGGAATGCCTGCCCCCTCCTCCAGGCCTCTAAACTTGTGTCTTTATAGTTCCTAACTAAGTGAGATGAGGGCTCTTGTCTTCATCCTGCCTTTGTTTCTGCTCCTGAAAGCCCAGATCTGTCTTTTTCGTTCTCTGAACACTACCCCCTTCTTAGTTTTGTTTACTAAAATGTTCAAGATTATAGATATCTTTGAAGATTTTGCTGAAATGAAAATCTTTACCCCAAGATCTGTAAAAGCATTGAGGTGTGGTTTAAAAGGCTGTAAAATTCCAAGCAGGTAGAAAGAGTAGCTTAAAATCTGTCACAAAGGGGGGTTAATAGTTAAAAGTCTATGTATAAGTAATCTTAATCTACTAGAACATACCATGTATATAACTTGGATTCAATTCTTGCTTAGGAAAATTGATGTTTTTGAAGAAAAAAGGGGGTATATGCTTTTGGGGATCACCTTATCAGGAAGTTTGGTTCACCTCTGAATAAATAGAAACCATGTAACTTGCTGTCATCTTGACTAATGACCTCAGCAAGATAGAAAGGACCATGAGGTTGACTGCCATCTCAACGGGTGACCTAATGGAGATGAAAGCAGCCATGTGATTTGACCACTATCTTTACTATCTTTTAAAGAAGGCATTCCATGTGACTTCACCATCATCTTGTTTACTTTGACCTTGTGGTATAAACCAATTGTAGGTGCACCCTTAAAATTCTTAGTCCCCATTTTATCATTGTATCTCCTTTTTATTAGACTAAAGGGGCAGCACTAGACCTCCAAGATAGTTTGTTTTATTTTATTTCCCCTGATGAAGAAGGCAACAACAGGCTTCCAAGATATTTTGGATAAGGATGGATTTTTTCATGGGAATTTTGTCCTTAACAGTAAGAGGACAAAATGGTGAACAAGGTTTATGAAAAACAGGGCTCAGTGCTGGAGAGATGGCTCAGTGGTTAAGAGTACCGGCTGCTCTTCCAGAGGTTTTGAGTTCAATTCCCAGCAATGACATGGTGGCTCACAACGTATAATGGGATCTGATGCCCTTTTCTGACATGCAGGTATGTATGCAGAATACTAATGCATTATACATATATATATATGTATACACACACACACACACACACACACATATATATATATATATATATATATATATGATTTTAAAAAGAGAGATTAAGAACAGTATGGTTGATGATTAAAGTTTATAAATTCTTAAGGTTATATTGGTCATTTAAGCTAACAGAAATTGATTAACAGGTGTATATCTAATCTCTTCATTTGTTTTTACCTATTTGGAGAAATTGAGTCATGTAAAAACCCATGCTATATTTTGTAAAAGTACCCTATAAAAGGATCAGGAAAATGAGGTTCCTAGTCTCTCTGTGGACTGTATTTACAGTTTAAAGTGTATTTTTATACTAAAGGATCTTTAATTTAAAAAAATGTATGTAGTTTTTAAGGATACAATTTTAAGGTTTAAACCTAACAGGGATAAAATTAAGAAATCCTAATCTTATAAAAGATACCAACTTATTGTAAACTATTAAAGATAATTAGTATGTACACGTTAAAGATCAGTCACCTTATAAATGATCACATTGTGCCCAGAACTGTTTGTAGTCATGCTAAGTTCAAATGTAACTCATTTACAGAGACAAGCTTGAAGGGAAAGACCAATTTATACCTCGGTTATATAGTTTTCAGTGAATGTTGTTAAAATTAAGCCTAAAACAAGTAATTCAAAATAAATTTAAAGTAAACTTAGAGTCTGTTTGATGGAAAATAAGATTTAAAGTCAGGTATATTAAAAAAATCTGGTTATGAAAATTTGAATGCTTAAGTAAGCTAGTTTAAATTTATATATACTGGCATGACAGGATGTCCCCAGGCCCAAGTATTTCCCCTCGATGGAGCATGTTTCCTCTGGCATTGCATGTTAGCTTCATTACAGAATAAGGATGTATGGGAAACAAGTCTTCGGACTCTGCATCCAGCTGTGTAGCCCTGACCTGCTCTGGCTGTGTACACCAGACCAGACAATCTTCCTCCTTAGCTACAGGAAAGATGAATTACTCTTCATGTCTCACATGACAAGGGAATGGATGTTCCT